GATTGAAAGATAATTTGAGATTACTGGGGAAATTATGAAGCCGATATGCAAAAGAAGAAAAAGATACATGAGCCCGAAGTAATGTTGATGTCAAATGATAAAGGATCTCTTATAAACCAACAATGAACGTGAAATTTTTCTTTCAAAAAACAAATTATAACATGCAATGATTCTTCAAGGGACTACCTCTCCATTCCATTTACCATCAACCAGGCAATGGTTTGGCTTCTGATTCGACACCAGCTTCTCCTCAAGCTCCTTAACAGCTTCCATATAATCCATCTGGCATTTTAGCCTCTCCTTCTACAGAGAAGGTAAAAACACTTAAATTGTTGCACCAAAACCAAATTACTAAATCTCTGTTGGAAGCACAGAAGTTAAGATGAAATACATATAAAATGCTCAAATATTGCTTCCTTTCTCTAGTTATTTCTGAAATATGCACAAAGGCTACATCTATTGTGGCTTGTTTAAAGAGAATTGATTAGAGAAAAAAATGCAATGAAATAGTTTCACAATCCTCCAAGAGCAAGTTTGACGCATAAATTTAGTAAAAATAATTCTTTAGTAGTTAAAAAGATTTTAAAATAACAAACAAACCTCTAATGCATCAGCAAAGTTTCTTTCAACCTCAGATATACGTTTTTGTGCTTCTAGATTTATTCTTTCAACTTCATCCTCAAAAGCTTTATGCTGCCTTTCATTTTCTGCAATAAGCTTGTCCACTTGTATTTCAAGCTTTCTCGACAAACTTTTGTAATCAAATTCTTCCTTGATTTTCAACATATTTTCCACCTTCATAGCCTGTCAATAATAAAATGGCACATCCATTCATATCTCAAGTATTCAAGAATATTAACCGGTACCAAAATTCATCAGTGAAAAAAAAATAGCCTGTTTATACAGATAAAATAAATATTAAATGGAATAGATAGAACGGATGTTTACACACTGTGAGATCAAAGCATATGAAAAGAGATGCTGCCTATCTAATTTAACTTATTTTGAGGACACTATCCAATCAGTACACTTCAACAAAACACATGACAGATGCTTTCTAATTCAAATTTAAGGACTTCCCAAATATGATGACTCACCCTTTGTCCAAATAGTATGGTACTTGCAGTCTCTCCTCGATGGCGTGGAGAGGGTCCAATAGTAACAATTAGTGAGGTCCTCGCTGATCCTGTAAAAAGACAACAAATGTGAAGCCAAGAAACAAATAAAACTGTAATTTCCTTTATCACAATACATTTAAGAAAGAGGGGGAAACTAAGATCAGTTTACGAGTCTTCACAAAAAAATGATAGGAGGAACTTAAGAAAAACAAAGTGAACCAAGCAACAAAAGTTATGAGTTTTCACATTTTGATGACAGTCATGGCTTGCATTTCATCTAAGTATTCCACTCAGGTGAAGTTTGCATAGACATAAAAGACATCTTACCTCCAAATGAATCTCTAAGCAATCTTGTAAGTTTTGAATCACGAAATGGAACATGAGCACTATTCTCTGCTAGAGAATTTATGCACTTCCCTAATGCACTAAGCGACAGATTGATACACTTAGCTTCCTCTAACATATGTCCCTCACTTCCTGCCAAAAAGGAAAGACAAAAGTTTTACCACATAACTACTGGGACTAGCTTACAAACACCAACGATCAGATTCATAATAATAATAATAAATACAATCAGGCAATCCACACCAGAACCATATGCAATTGCAGGGAATAGCAGAAAAATCTATACAACTTGATATGGGGATTTCAGTCATGTAACATATTAACTCAGAGTTGAGGTGATTGAAAGCAACCAAGCAGCTTAAATTTGCACCCTTCACCCCATTCAGCAGGTGGCAAGCAAAAGAACACAAACCAAACTTCATATGGAGAAGGAGCTCATACACACAGACATAGAGAAACATTTATACACATATGCATAAAGATAGACACAACAGACCAACAGGCACACACACAATGTAGTATAACAGTTACAAAACCAACTAAAGGTCACAAGTTGGCATATACACCTGATTTTTGGATACGTTCTGAACCTGCTAAATCTACCACAACTAGTTTGCTTTTCCGGACAAGTGGTTTAAAAGGCTTGGTCAAGTGAGAAGGGTCACCATTTTCGCTGGAAACATCATCTTCTCTTCCCAAGACAGACCTCTTAACTTGTACCTGCACTAAGGAACTTACAAACATCAAGACCCCAGTTATGCTATACCAAAAAAGCAATCGGTTACCAACAAGAAATTCTGACATTTTTTTTCATGCATCATGATTTAGATGAATAAATATATTAACAGATAATGGACAGTAAATTATTTTACCATCAGAATCGCATGACTACGAGAAGATTCAGTGTTCAACTTGGTGTTAGCAGCTATACGATGAGCTTCCCCACATCTTAACAGCTCCAGAAAACTATGCTGGTCTTTGATCTCCACAATAGTTGCCCCAGGTACTGAAACATCCCCAGTTCTTGGATCTTCCACAATGGGAATATTATCATTTGTCGGATCAAGTAGGTCCTGGAGGGTCTCCATATAAAGCTACATATTTTTTTGGGTAGAAAATAAGAATGTTAAATTTCTGAACAATGAAGATTCGGTAGAAACAGAGAGCATTTAGAAGATCAAATGAAAAAGGATTCTGAATATTAAAAATCATAAGTGAAGTTAATATATCCGATGATAACGAATAAATAATTAAAATTTTGAACATAACATGACAATTCTGCAGCAATGCCATAAGGGCCTAACAACCTGCAGATACGAGACAGAGATAGAATCAGTCTCAGGAGATATATCTGCCAGAATGTCCTCCATCGAACGAACCATGATTCCTCGATCAGATGTATCTTCTTCTCCTAGACGTCCAAGAGTAAATGTTTTCCCGGTACCTGTCTGACCATAAGCCATAACCGTCCCATTGTAACCATCTAAAACACTCTACAAGAGCAAAAGGGGAAGTTATTCAGTTGCTATGAAAAGCCACATCAAATAGTGTAGGAAAATACGAAGTGGTCTATGGTAGATAACAAACCTCCACAACAGGCTTAGCAACAACTTCATAGACACGCTTCTGTGATGCATACTCAGTAAGCACGTCATCAAATTCATATGTGTCCAAATCCCAATTGTTTTTTCGAAGTTTCAACCTTTTAAGCTGTGGTAGAACAAATGTCAAACGTTATTAGATACACACAAACACCAAAAAAAAACCTAAAAGAACAGCTGTAAAAGAAAAAAGTTAAGAAGATATTAACCACCGGCATTACCAAACTAAGTTCAAATTAGCAATGGAAACAAAATGAACAAGTACCTCTGGCTGCAACTCCACACAGTCAGCAAAATCCGCATCTGCCACCATCTCTTCCGCATTTCTGGGACGCAATCGTACAGCTACTCGAACTCTTCCAGGCACTATCCAAATAAAAAACGCATAAGCAACAGACATACAAGCACATGTTCATCACTTGCTCATCTGGGTTTGCGTATCTTATTTTATCACTTTTTTCACTCATTTTTGCAATTTTCAAACATTTTATTTTAAACAAACCGGTAGAGTATAGGGGAGCTACAAAACCAGAATGTATTGTCCCAAATCAGCTTAACATTTACTTAAATTATACAGTCAATTTGCAGGCTTGAATTGGAAGTTTCCATTTCTTCACATTTTCAATTGAATCGCATTTGCTCAAACAAAAACTGACCTGCATGATCGTCTTTGGAACCTGCAGAGCCAAACAACGCCGGACTGCTCCTGCGAACAGCGGATCCGTTGCCGGGAGATTGAGAAGGAGGGAGCCGGGACTTGAACGACGACGTTCTGAAACTCACGGGGCGATCCAACTTCACAGCCCCCCTCTGAGCGACGCCGTTTCGGGAAGCCATCGTTCAGTTCAAGTGCGGAGAGATTTCACAAACGCATTGGCTGAGAAATTTGAAAAGCCTCAGTGACTCTGCTGTGTGACTGACGTTGAGGGTCAGGGGTTTCTTTTGTGTTGCTTGGTTTGATGGTTTCAAAGTGAAGAAAGAGCTTGAAGACATAGAGAGAGAGAGTGGGGGATGGGAGGTGGGGCCCAAAGGGGCCATAGTGTGCGGGAAGAGACAGAGTGAGTCGCAGATTGGGCGTGGTCCCGCATTAAAGTTCATTTGGGTTTGAAGAGGAGGCGCAAAATTACGAAAATGTCTGTCTTTGTCGCTGGTATCACATCTTGCTTGTTTTGTATCTGGATATGGGGGATTTTTATTTTTTTATTTTTCCAAATGAAGGGTGAAAATGAACACACAAAGATATTATGGGTTTTGAATCCGGAATCACTTGGTAGCATATTAAAAGTCTGCCTTAATCCAACTAACACCTCTTTAGTATCTGGATATGGAGAATTGAATATCTGAATCATGATATTTGGATGAATATCTAAATCATGATCTTTGGATGAATATTTGAATCATGATCTTTTGATTTTTTTTTTATGCAATCATTTTTTCTTCTTGTTTATTCAAATTTGCTTGTTATTCATCATTCACAAATTCGTCAATTCATCAATCTTTCTCCCCTCCAAAAATCAAGAAGCAATTCTCTTCTCACTTGTATCCATCAAAATATTTCAAATTCGTCGTATCTTTAATCCTCTGCAAATCAAAAGTTCTTTTCTTTGACACCATGTCCAAGATAATTAGAAAGAAAATGCGTTTTCTCAACTGTATCCCAGCGGAGAAAGAGGGACAAGAACAACATACAGTTTAAGAAGAAAAGGGCAATGACTTTTCACTAAATGGTGTATGTCTATCTCGAGAATCCTAAGTGTGTGCCCTTCATTTTGAAGCTGAAAGAGGATAGGAGCCATTTGGAGGAAAACATAGCCGTTCCCAACTACTCTGGTGACCCCCTCAATATCATGGATTAGTCAAGAGAATGATGTGTTTTCAAAACACATCAAGAAATGAGCTTTATATTTGGAATGTTACCTAAGAGAAACTTGAACAAATGATAGAAACCTCTAGTCTTCTTGAAGGTTTTAGCTCATATGGGTTTGGCAATTCAAAGGATAGGAAGCAGCTAAGGATCCTCAAACTCTTACCACCATTCATTCTAGTAAAGGTTGAAGGCAGGGGAATCGAAGAGCAACAAAAAATTGAAGTTATCTCTTATGAATGTGGATCTTAGACAAGATCCAACCATTGTAATATTTCGTTTATTTCTACTGGTTTCGACATCTTTATTGAGGATGGCTGGATGTATTGGAAGACTTCTCTGTTACCAAAGTCAAGATAATTGCTCAAGACATGGAAGCATCCAGCTTTTATTGGCTATTACTTGTACCTAGTAAACTGAATCTTGAAAGCATAAAAGTTAGGCTTGGTATCCAGAAGGAGCTAGCCATTTGTGGCTATCTTGAAATTGTGACAGACGATTTAGATGTGCTGCTTCTTGTGCAAAAGGAACACATGAGGTGAGAATAAACCCTTTATACAGTCTTGAAGGTTGCTATTATTATTCCCAAAGAACACGAGTGAAATACTCAACTTTTGCAACCTTTAAGATTGTATAGGGGGGGTCTATTCCCACCTCAGATGTCCTTTTTGCACAAGAAGCAACACATCCAAATCGTATGTCGCAGTTTTCTAATAGCCACAAATGGCTAACTGTTTCAGGAAACCAAGTTTCTTATGTTTTCAAGATTCAGTTTACTAGGGAAAGGTGGTAGCTAATTAAAATTGGATGCTCCCATGTCTTGGGCAATTATCTTGCCTTTGGTAAGAGAGAATGTCTTTCAATACATCCAGTCATCGTTAATAAAGATGCTAGGACCGGAGGGAATGAATGATTTACCACAATGCTTATATCTTGTCCAAAGAGACAACTTCAATTTTATGTTGCTCTTCGATTTCCATGCCCTCAACCCTTGCTAGAATCAATGGTGATAAAAGCTTGAGGATCCTTAACTGCTTCCCATCCTTTGAATGCCAAAGCCAGAGGAGCCTAAACCTATAAGAAGACCATAGATTTCTATCATTTGTCCAAGCCTTTCTTAGGAAAACATTCCAAATATAAAGCTTATTTCTTGATGTGTTTTGCACATCAATCCCATTGACTGACCTACGATATTGAGACGGTCATATGGTAGTTCGAAGCGGTTGTGATGTCCTCCAGATGGATCTCATCCTCTTTCACCTTCAAAATGAAAGAGGCACACTTAGGATTCTCGAGATAGATATATACCATATGGTGAAATGTCATTACCTTTTTCTTTTGAGACTAAACTATAGGTTGTTCTGGTTCCTCTTCATTTTCAAAAATACAGTCGAGAATACGCATTTTCCTTGGAATTATCTTGGACATGGTGTCAAAGAAAAGAACTTTTGATTTTCATTGGATTAAAGATATGATGAATCGAAAAGATTTGATGGATACAAGGGAGAAGAGAATTGCCTCTTGATCTGGGGAGGGGAGAAAGATTGACGAATTGAAAAGATTTAGATGAAGACAAAGAGAGAGTGGTTGAAGAAGACAAAGAGATAATTTTTGAAGAAGGCAAATAGAGAATAGAGCGTGTTCGTGAATGATGAATAACAAGCAAGTTTGAATAAACAAGAAAAAAAAAAGATAGTCGTTATTGAATTTGTGAAACAGACTAGAGAGAAGATTTGAAGGAAACAAGGGAGAACATAGCATGTTCTTGAATTTGTGAAAAATAAAATAAAATAGTCATTAATGTATAAGAACACCACACATTCTCAAAACTCTCGCACATACAAGTTTTTTTTGTCCTTTATTGCGCACCACTTTCTATTTGTGGCATGTTTACTAATTCATAATCAAAATCAAAATAATGAGTTGAATTCCTATTACGGATACTCATGTGTTTACTTCACATGAAGAAATGAAAATGTGAGGGAAGCCTACACAAAATCAGGAATTTAACTCCTCATTTTGGAGGAATTAGACTCTTAAGTGGGAGTTGGTATTATAATTCTTGGAGAACTAACTCATTAGGAATCCATATTTTTTATGAATTATATCCTTACATAATTTTTAAAAGGGAGTTGATTTTCCCACTCCTATTTTGTTCACTTACACTTTCTTTGTTGAAAATTGTATGCTCCTCCTCATCTTTTGTCCACTTACACTCCCTTTATTATTATTATTATTATAAAAGGTGATAGAATTTTATTAGATCAATAGAATAAAGAGTACAAAGGACACAGTAAAGGGAGACATCCCAATAACAATATGGCAACCATGGGTAAAACTTCCCGAGTGACCTGAGCCAGTTGAAAAGCTGAAATAATATGGAGATAATCAAACTCGAAATTAACTTTTCTAAACCCCTTTCAATGACCATAATTTCCCGAATATAGTCCAATAACTTCAAAAACAAAAACTAGCCGCTAATCGGCATGACTCTCTTAAAGAGAATAAGAACATCGAATAAACTCAACTAAGTTTCTAGAATCATGAGAGAAAAAACACAGAAAACTCATTGAGTGTATGGACTTTTTTGAACAAACTAAACCAAAATAAATAAATAAAACTAAAATAACGTCGGTAAAAGGAAAACCAACTGCCGCTAATCTTCCTTCGGGGCATGACATAAAGAGCATCAACTAGTTACTCCTCCAAGGCCTTAACGCACCAATAAGCAATGGATCTACCATGAAAGCTGCAACATCTCAAAGAGTAGCCTCGCAAGATGAGGCACAACCAAAGCCAATCCAGATATGAGACAATAGATCAATAAAAAGAAGAGTAGATTGACATAGGTTCACCAGAAGTCAAAAAAACACCGAAGATTCGATGAGATCAGGGGGAAAATCCCGGGATCTAAAGTGTTCTCTATCTTTTTTTAATTAAGAGTTTAAATCTTATTTACTCTAAATAATTCTGTGAGATTGCTTATTCTATACTTACACTCCTTTTTCTTTCTTTTTTTGTTACAGTAAAAAGTATTATAAAAAAAAATGGAGCCTAAATGGACAAAAGGGGAGTGGGGAAATCAACACCCTTTTTAAAATTCCAAATTTGTCATATACTTTAACTCAGCAACAAGGGCATTTTAGTAATCAATTTGGTTTCAATTCCAATTCATGGGAATTTAGTAAACAACTTGTAGGGAATTAGTACCACTCCTACCCCAAATTCCATATGATTTAGTAAATAACTTCAAGAAGAATCTAGATTCTAACTATCCTTAATCCAACTCCTCCCCAATTCAATTCCTCCTAATCTAATTACAGATTAGTAAACATGTCATTTAGTCTTTTGCTCCACTTGTGGTCTCCACAATCAGTTGACTTTGGTTATCGGTTTTTTAATCCTAAATAAATAAATAAATTTAGTGGGTGTTTGGTATCCTATTAGAGTATGGAACTCAAAATTTGGATTTTTCTTAAAAACAAGGTGTTTTAAAATTCATTTTTTAAGATTCAAAAACTTGTTAGGTATCTAACTTGAAAACTATTTCTAAATCTTAAAATTTTGAAGACTTGTTTGATTGAATTCTTGAAAACAATTTCTTTTTTCAATTCGTGAAAACTGTTCCTACTCATCTTACATAGATTTTGTTTTCTTGATCATTAAGCGCACAAAAAAAAATAAAAAAAAATTGAATCTTTGTGTTGGGGTTGCATGAAATGGTTCATATATCAAAATAACATTTTTAACATAAATAATTATAACTTCGTATCACATTTTATTTTTGCTAATCTCATATTATATTTACATCCAAGAAATACTATGGTTATTGATAAACAAAATGCAAAATTGAAACTAGTTGAGTCAAGGCAACTAATGTATATTTTGGCTTATGTGAAGAGGACGAAGCGCAAATCAAAGAATGGAGAAGGAGATGAAATTTATTGTGATGATCAATACTATTACTTGCATGTCATTTTATTTATTTATTGATCGATCAAGACGTATCTTCTTGACTTTTAAGAAGTAGAGTAGTCAATTACGTGACTTAGTGTACAAGGAAAAAGATAAGAAATGAAAGATGTGATAATATTAACCTCTCATCTCAACCCATTTCATAAGTTGGGCTGACTTGTTTACTAATCTGTAATGCTTAAAAGATGAGAAAGTCATAAGAAAAATCTAAAATGCTTAAGGAGAGAGGGTCGAAGAGAGAGAACGAAGACAGAAAAAGGGACGAGAGAGAGAGAGAGATGGAGCAATTTTTTTTGGTTTAGGAAAGAGGGTCCAAATTTTGTGGTGTTTTTAAGTGATTTTTGGATTTTGGTACTTAAAATGCCTTCCAGTCAAAATATTTGGCAGATATATTTTCTTTTCATTTCCTGATAAGAAATGATGGCAACTAGGCCGTGGTGAAAGGGTGCGCGCGCTTTCATTGCTTTTAATGCAAAAGCTTGCATGCGAATGAACGATAGTGGCTCGAGTTTAAGGAATTCCCACACAAAAATACAAATGCTTGAAAGGTGAGTGGGTGCCTTTAAACCAAAAAAGTTGCTCAACTTTGGGGGATGCTCCAGAAAAAATACAAATAACTATAAAAAATATCTCAGGTAAACTACCTAAAAAGAGCCTAATCATATGATTAGCAGCAAGTGCCAAACTGTGACATGCCATGCCACGTTTGATTTTGCAATTGCAATGCCAATGTAAGCAAAGTAGGAGACCACAAGGGCCAGCATATCACATGGAATGACTTGACGCTCCTTTGACCAATAATTTCACTCTTATTAAATGTGTTCAACCTTTTCTTTTATCACCGCCTTTTCCCATAACATGTTTCTATTATGCATGAATAAGACTGGATTCTCTAGCCCAAAACAACAAAATAAAAAGAAAAGGAAAAATAATTGAATAAAAGTTTGGCTCCATATCATGTTTTTTTTGTACTTCATTTTGGTATAATTATGTAAATAGTTGTTTTTCTAATTAGGAATATGTAAATGGGCTATTTTGTGAAGAAAAAAAAACTCAAATAATTTATTTTATCAAAACATTAAGTTTTTGAATACTTTCTTATTAAGAATTACGATAATATACTAAACTCACACACATTACACAAATGTATACTCAAAATATTAATGGTGTGTTTACTAATCAGGAATTGAATTCCACATATGGAGGATTCCTGCATTTACTTAACATCAAGGAATTGAATTCCTGATTTTGAAGGAATTCAATTCTTGGGTAGGAGGTGGTATTCTAATTTTCGAAGAACTAACCTATTAGAAATTCATCTTTTTTACCCATTATATCCTTATACAATTTTCAAATTTTCAAATTTGTCATCTACTTTAACCTAACAATGAGGATATTTTAGTAATTAGCACCACTCCTACTCCAATTCTATATGGTTTAGTAAACAACTTCAATAGAAATTCAGAATCTAACTCTCTTCAATCCATATGGTTTAGTAAACAACTTCAATAAGAATCTGGAATCTAATTCTCCTCATTTCAATTCATCTTAATTCAATCGCGAATTAGTAAACATCCCATTATGACACAAATATCTGAACTAAATTTAGATCCCAACCATTGAACTTTTATCCTATGGTAGTTAGCCATCAACATCTTTGGTCCATAGTAGCCAAGACATCTATCACACATACTTTATTTCATAATTGACCAAAAAAAAACTTATTTCATTAAAAAAAAGTTATTTTCTTATCCAAAAACAATATTTCCAACCTGTAAATTGACTAATAATAGTACAAAGAGACATCAAAGTGGACCAAATTTAGCTTACTCTAAAAGAAAAACTAAAATGTCATAAAAAGAAGGGTTATTTGTAGTAATGGTCCCTCAACTATACTCGAAGTTACATTTTGGTAACTCAACTCAAATATTAGTTGCAGAGGTCACTTAATTGGGTGTTGTGTTGCATCATTAGTCCCTACCGTCAAGTCTCTCTAACCGTTGGGACTAATAGTGCAACACAACACCTAATTGAGTGACATCTATAACTATTTTTTGAAGTTGAGTAACTAAAATGTAACTCTGAGTATAGTTAAGGGATTATTGATACAAATAATCCTAACTGAAAAGTTACATTTGCCCATCAATAATCTAAGAGATGTTTGTCACGTCATCATTTTAAACAAAAAAGTCACAAACTTGACAGTAGGAACTAATGGTGCAACACAACACTCAATTGAGTGACTTTTGTAACTAATATTTGAGTTAAGTGACCAAAATATAACTTCGAGTATAATTGAGGGACCATTGCTACGAATAACTCTAAAAAGAATATCCAAAATAATAACAACTCAGGGAAGAAAAAAAAATTCCACACGTGTCAGCATCCGAGTCAGCCATAGACACTCGCCGCCACTGTACAAAACCCTAATAAACAACGCACACAAAGAACAGATATACATTCTCGCTCGCAGCCTCCGTCGTCCGCTTATTGACCCGTACCCGGATTACATGGCCCGCCAATCCAATCGGAGCTCCGACAATCTCTGCATTTCTCTTCCCCGAACTCCTTCCACCACGATTCTCATGACTATTTCCATTTCCACTAACGCCACCAACATTCACTGAAATTTCAACTCTGCCACTGCTTCCATTTCTCCTTCAAGCTTCAGGTTCGCTATCTGTTTCGGGTCGGGTCCCTCTAAGAATCGCAATCGGGTTCGCGCTGTGTCTTGGTAATGGCTACGCTCCAGAGCTGTAGTGTGTGCTTGAGAGAGTCTGCTCTCCAGCTTCCGCGTCACCATTTTACGGATAACTACAGGAGGTTTATCTCATTCTCTTATATTATATTATTTTATTTTGTATTTAATTAATTAAAATTAAAATTCACTCATATTTGTCTTTTAATTTTGTTCTCCATTAGAGATTTGTAGTTTAGTTATTAAATTAGACTACACTTTAATTAATTAAATCTGTATGCTAAAGAAAAACAGAGTACAAAATTCATCAACTGATTAATTAGTTTATCAATTTCATTGTTTTGTTTTTTTATTTATTTATTTAATTTTTGTATTGATTCGAAGCAGTAGGACTGCAAAATGGAAGTGTCCGCGAGCAGCTGTAATCCCTAATTTTCATCTTCCAATGCGTAGTTTTGAAGTGAAAAACAGGTAATTTGCATGTATAATTTATGTGGGGTGATGAATTTCATATTGAATTTGGTTCTAAGATGTTTGGTGGCTACATTTTTTCTTAGCTTGTTTAGGATTAGAAGATCAAAATGCGTGCACAGTTGAACATATATAGATTACGTGAGAATAGATCATTGCTTCTCTGTATTTTTGGTTTTCCAGTAAAATCTCATGTTTCGGTTCTTTAGTAGTGGGATATCCCTTTAGACTCCGGAACAACATGAACTTCATTCATATTGCTAGGTCCCTGCAATCCAGATGACGACCTGATTCTAGACGAAATATCTCGAACAACTATTTTATTGTTGTGTCAAGCTGTATACGTTTATCCACTATTAGAGATGGTTATTTAGTGTTGTTATGTTGCTTCTGTACTGGGGCTGATAAGAAAGCATGTGCTTTGGAAAACTACTGTGTATGCATGAAGTGCTACATGTGTATGTGAAAGCTCATTAGAAGTGTAAATGCTCCATTTGAGCAAATTGTTCTTTATGCTAAGCATGCTCTATGTTTTCAGGACATCAGTGGACGATATAAAGTCACTTAGATTGATAACAGCCATCAAAACCCCATATCTACCAGACGGCAGATTTGACCTTGAAGCATATGATGCTTTGGTTAATATGCAGATTGAAAATGGAGCCGAAGGTGTGATTGTTGGTGGCACAACTGGTGAAGGCCAATTGATGAGCTGGGATGAACACATAATGCTCATTGGCCACACAATCAACTGTTATGGAGGATCAATTAAGGTAATAGGGAACACTGGAAGCAATTCTACTAGAGAAGCAATTCATGCTACTGAACAGGGTTTTGCTGTTGGAATGCATGCTGCCCTTCACATCAATCCTTATTATGGAAAAACCTCCTTGGAGGGATTGGTTTCGCACCTTGATAGTGTCATGTCAATGGGACCCACTATTGTATACAATGTGCCGTCACGAACTGGCCAAGATATCCCCCCACGTGTGATTCACAGGTTGGCTCAGAGCTCTAACTTCGCAGGTATCAAGGAGTGTGTTGGAAATGATCGTGTTGATCAGTATACCGACAAGGGAATTGTGGTTTGGAGTGGGAATGATGATGAGTGCCATGATTCTAGGTGGAACCATGGAGCTACTGGAGTTATATCTGTTACTAGTAATCTGGTTCCAGGTTTAATGCGAGAATTGATGTTTGGGGGGAAGAACCCTTCTCTTAATGCAAAGATAATGCCTCTGGTTGAGTGGCTTTTCCAAGAGCCAAACCCCATTGGCTTAAACACAGCACTTGCCCAACTTGGTGTTGTGAGGCCCGTCTTCAGGCTGCCATATGTACCTCTTCCTCTGGCAAAGAGGGTAGAATTTGTGAATTTGGTTAAGCAAATTGGGCGGGAGAATTTTGTTGGAGAAAAGGATGTGAAAGTTCTCGATGACGATGATTTCGTCTTAGTGAGTCGGTATTAGATAGTTTTCGTGTTTAGGACTTCTGTCTTTTGGCTGTCTGAGTTACTTCCTTAAGAATTCATAAATGCTGTTTTAATTTACATATATTGATGTTTTCGGGATGCTATTTTCTCTGGTGGTTCTTTGTCTCAATAACTTCAGCATGTTTGAATGTGATTATCAAAAAGTGTTGCTTCTTGTTTGTCACATCTACCCTTGGCTCAGTTGCATTACTTGCTCAACCTGTGATTATATAAAGTTAAAGCTGTTACTTTGTCCTTCACATGCCAGTAACCCTATCTTGAGGCTCTGAGATTCACATGATTGTTGTTTTTAACTTTTGTTGACCTGAAAGTGTGAAGCTTCGAGAAATCTCTCATCTTTCAATCCTCTAATAATGCTTGTAGATGAAATTTGAAATGTCTATCTTACCCTCTTCTTCATGAAATCAAGTCTCAGTGAAGATGATCAGAGGTGAGGACCAACAGAAGCAGCTATTTACTAAACTATATCTTTTAGCAAAATATGTAAACCATAAGCCAAAAAAGCCCATCATACCTTGGGCTTCGTTGGGTTCCCACTATCATCATTAGACTCAGGTGACGTGGCAGCCCAGCCCACGTGAGTCAAATGGCGGGAAAGAGATTAGCCATCTCATATGATATGAGAGTTCAGTTCGTTTATACTGATTTCATGATCATTTCCAATTTTGAACACCGAAGTTGAACACAATGAATTTAGAAAACTACTCCGCAAACCCCCTTTTTTTTTTTTTTTTTTTTTTTTTTTTTTTTTTTTTTTTTTTTTAAAAAAAAAAAAAAATATATTTAATAATTTTAAAATAATTGTCCATCTATTTTTTTTTTTTGTATTTTATTTTATTAGTTCAATATCTCAGACCCCTCACATGGCTTTTGATTCATTTTTCATCAAAACATCTTCCTTCCTTGGCTTAATCGACTTACCCGTTTATGATCAGATTCGCAACTTACGATTTCGCTTTCATCCTGATCTGAGTTCTGACGAACATGAACTAGTTTTCTGTTTTCTGTTTTCTGCTCCTTTTGATTTATTTCCGGAGAAGAGGCCTCCTCTGCCTACACATAATTTTGACTTAGCTTTGAATACAAATAATGGGTTTCCTCAATTTTCTGCCAGTGTTTGGTAGCATTTTGCAATCATTAAGAAGTAAGATTAGAAGCATGATCATGTGGGGGGTGTTAAGAACATTCCAAAGTCTGGGCATAGATTGATAGAGGCTCATGATAAATCGCACACCCTTCAAATATCAGAAGAGATTTATATAAAGTATTAAATGAAATATACTTGTCCTCCAAATTGGACGGCTATCTGCCAAGCATTGTTTGAGATATATGAACATTTATGCACATGGGGATGATTTTCTTTATCTATTTATTTATTTTTATTTTTTGGGGGACCTGAGACTCTTAACAAATTTGGGGGGTCACCTGGGTTTTGAGGAGACAGACAGAGACATGCATCACAGAATCTCAATCTGAAAGACTTCTTAATAACCTTTGCATTACATGTACACACCCTCACAGTAAACACTGTCCCTGAGAGGACACATCTGGGTAATATCTTCTTTTGCCACATGCCTTGTCTCACACACGAGTAAAACTTGCATGTAACATGTTTCACATACCTTTCTCTATATCTGTCTCGTCACGTGATGAGAGAGACAAAGAGAAAGATGTATGAAACATGTGATATGCAAGTTTTTTGGTCTCTCACACAGGCGAAAAAGATAAAAAGTCAAAAAGGAAAGTGAAGTTACAGAAGAATATGTAAAAGGATTGCACATACTAAATCTACATGACACACATAAAAGGTAAATCATCCATAATTAACCAAAATTAGCCCACAAACTAAGTGATTTGGGGAGGGAAGATGAGACATTAGAATTTAGAACTTCCCCAACAAGGAGATGAAAGAACAAATCAAGGCTAAGAGGGGCCCCTAGTAGAACTACTCCTTGTTAACTTTTTTTCTAATAATAATTATATGAAAATTGCAAAGCGTTAAATTAAATATATGTTTACATTAGGGTAATGAGGTTTCAGTTTCATGGTGCTGCTGCATGCATATATTGGTACTGTTTCATTTGTTGGGAGAGAGCTTCTTCTCTTGGAGCTGTGAAAACAAGGCTTGGTTCTCTTGGACAAGAAGAAGTGCTTTTCTCCTCAGCTTGTTGTTCTCTTCTATAATGCTCTGGTTCTCCATGTATAGCTTCAGGTTCTTGATTTCCATCTCTACCTTTGCCCCTCCTATCTCTGCCCCTTTTGGTTCTTTTGCTGTTTTCCTCTTCCTGTTAGCATACATATAACAAATCTCTTAGATAAAAAGTAAAAAACCGAAGAAGACAAACAGAGAGATAGATAGATAGATAGATAGATAGATAGATAGATAGATAGATAGATTGATTGATAGATATATAGATGAATGGAGGGTGAGAGATATATAGACTGTGAAGGAACAAGACCTGTTGATTAAGCGGTGAACTCGAAAGTTATGTTGGTTTGATGGCCCTCGAAGGCGAAAAGCAGAGTATTGAGGACTGCATGGAGTCATTTCTGAGGAGTTCATACACATTGTTTTCCTCTACAATTCAGTTGCTGCTTTTCTCTGAGAGAGAGAGAGAGAGAGAGAGAGAGAGAGGAGAGAGAGAGAGAGAGAGTTGAATGTGTGTAAACCTGGAGAAGAGAAAGGTAACAAAAATGTGGGTTGTGAAAAATGTTATTGGACTTTAAATAGCAGAGGTCACTTGGCAGAACCCAGGAGGAAAAGGTGAGCCACATAACTATTGTTTTGTGTTTGTATCTGTCTCCCTTGGAGAGAGAGAGAGAGAGAGAGAGAGAGAGGGCTTTTCATAGCAATGATGGCGCAAAGGGTCATCATTACAAAGGCCAGTAGGGGATGAAATTAATTGCAGAGGAGAAGAAGCTAGAAAAATAAATAAATATTAGAGGGTTCCCTTATTCCTTTTGGCTTCTTTTCCACATATAACTTAACGAACGCGTCAAAAACACAAGGGGAAAATTGTTGCCGTATGTGTCAAACTGTTATTTGTCGGCAACAAGAAAATGGTATGATTAATTTCATATAACATACAGTCCCCCCCTAACTCCTAAGGCAGATTGAGTGTTGAGAGGGGGCAGTCGCAACTTGGGTTTTGTTGCGGCACATGGAAAGCGACTGAATATCCCAACTCGGTAGAGCCACTTTGTTGAATTTTAGAACTAACCCCCTTTGAGTTTCATTTCAATTAATAGGGTTGGGTTTCTTTTCTGCAGAGCCCTCAATGTGGAAGATGACTTATTTCCATGATCATGTGCTGCAGTCAATCAACCAAATCATTACTGTACAAATCAAGTTTGAATACTCAGAAAACATTTGGATGCATATTTCTTAAAGCTAAACGGATTTTGTTTTAAATATAATAAATAATTCGTTAATAAACAATTACTTTAATTAAGTCAATGGCTAATGGGGTGTGAGGATTATATGAATGGGGTTGATTCTGAAATTCCACGTGAAATTATGACAGATAATTAGCTGGAGAAGATATATGGAGGCAAAATGGGGCATATTGTCAAAAAGTGGGTGTTTGTTTTTGAACTTTTAGTTAGTTCTTATCTTAAGCAATCTGTTTTTATAAGGCTCGTGTTTGAAAAGTAGACGCAAACCCTTTGGAACCCTCTTTTGCTTTTACATGAGAAAACGTTTATATATGTCATATGGTCAAGATTCATAACGTGTAAACTCAGAACTTATAGATGTAATCATTTCCTCTAAGCACAATTTAAAGATGCTTACCAACCAAGAACATTCTCTATCCTCGTTAGTGTTGGCTGAGGTACCATATTAATTTACTAGATGTACGGTTCTTTTTCTTGAAAGATAAGTACGAATAGTTGAAATTAACAATTCAATTGTGCAAATATTTCGTTAGATAGTTGTAACAAGACTCCCAATATGAATATGTATATATGTTATGATTACCCAAGTTGGTTAGAGCAGATGTGCTCCCCACTTTTCAATTTGCACTTGAGTTTGAATCCTCTTTCTAGTAATTTAGATTAATTATCGTTTGTATGAAAAAGTTATATGTGTAATGATTTACTTTGATTAGGTTAGTTTGTCTAAACTTGTGAAGGAAAAAGGTTCACATGTAATGTCACGTGCAATTCACGTGGGCATTTTGGGGTAGGGCCTTGCGAGAAGCCAAGGGAAATGAGTAGTTTATTGGAAGGGATGCTGAGTATGGAGGATGAAGAGGGAGTAGTCAATGTTGTTAGGTCCTCTCCTTTTGTCTCTTTTCTTGGTGTAATTGAGTGCCAAAGCCATACTCATTTATTTGGAAAATGAACCCCATTTTGGCTTCATCTTCTTCTTCACCATCATCATCACCACCATCTCTTTCTCTCTCTCTCACCCATTGCCATTGGATGGTAATATCATCATTATGATGGTAGTGGCAATCGTATTTTGTCCAAATTCAGCTCAGCCACTTCACATGGTCCCTTAAATCTAGCTGGTTGGACACTTAACTTGCCAGCCCCATAATACAATTGGGGACCAAATTTTCACATTTTTTTGTCACAAGCCTTATGATTTGCTACCTACAAGGAGCTAAATAGGTTCGGTGGATAAAATGAAATGCTTTTCTTTTCTTTTTCACAAAAATGCTAAGAAGGATAGATGATGTCAATACATATTCTTGATGTCACGCTAACTCACAACATAAGATATCGTTGACTCTTGCTTTTGTCTGAATGTGTGGTTCATATTCATAATACATGTGTCAATATAAACATTTATATGACAATATAAGTCTAACAGTAGAACATTATCCTAAAACACCTAAAATAAAACCGCCGACCACAAAAAAGATGGTGTACTATATGACGATATACTTAGTGTAGTAGGTGGTATACACTGTGATTATAGGCATGTATTAGAGTGGGCATAGAACTGGACTATAGTCCCTCATCATGCCCTTTTGGACATGGGATGGATGTTTGGCTGTTTGATAATTAGGGCTACGACCAGAGCAGGCTTCACTCATTTCTTGTGATACTATCTCCTCAGTACTTATATACTACCCATGAGGGTGAGATGATGGAAGTCAACAAACAAATGAAGCTCCTACCATTTTCAAAAATGATCTCATTGCTTTCGCTTTGGTTTTTTGCTTACAACTTTCGAATCTTTTCTTGTTTTCTATACAACTGTTTTTGGGTGAAGAACATGATATATACATTTAAAGTGTGTGTGATAAGCCGATGGCCTCATGGCTTAATAGTAAGTATTTGTCTACATATGATCTCAGATTCGAACCCTAATAGCACATCTCATTTTTCATTTCCAAACTTTAACACACACAAAAATTGTGTGTGATAACAAATAATAATGCTCCCCTACAATTTTCGTATTTCAATTCATCACCTTCAATAAATATATACTTTTGCTACACATGGCTCCACTACTGAGAATAGTTTAGGGCACTTAGTAATTAACGAAGGTCACAATAGAAAAGGGGTACCTAGAAATTCTCATGGAGGATACTACAAACCCAACTCTCTTCTCAAATTTATATTTCCCTTTTTTCTCAATTCTCTCATTCATAACAAGTGGATCCTCTATGGGCCTTCCAATATCCTTTATGTGATCAAGAGAAGAGGAAAAACGAAGTTCGAACAAAAAGTTGGGTTTTAAAACATTTTTTCTTCTGAACTCCTTTAGATTCAAAGTCATGGGAGTTCTAATCGAATTTGTGTTTTCTTTGGAACTTATAGTAATTTTATGGGTTAGTCATTGTATTAGTCCTTGAACTTAGACCCGATTTACATTTTAGTTCCTCAATTTCCAAAATTGTTCCCGTGGTCCTTCAACTTCAGTTTTGTTAGGACAAATGGTCATATCGTCAATTTTGTTAACTTTTCTGTTAAATGCAGGGGCAAAATGATATTTTTGTATTAAATTGATTAAAATATGAATAAAAAATTAAAATTAAACTCTCTCTCTCCCCCTCTATTCCGATTTCTACTCCACCTGAACTTTAATTTTTTGTTGTTGTTAGTTTTTTATTTGATTTTCTTTTATTGTTATTTTAAAGATATGATTTTTTATTCATTTTTTTTGTTTTAATATAAAAGTACCGTTTTACTCCTGCATTTAATAGAAAAATTTAACAAAATTGACGGCATGACCATTTGTCCTAACGAAAGTGAAGTTAAAGGACCACGGAAACGATTTTGGAAATTGAGGGACTCAAATGCAAATCGAGTCTAAATTCAAGAATTAATAAAATAATTAACCCTAATTTAAATTCAGTGTAATGTAATTTCACATGAACCTTTTCCTTATTATGACTGCTCATGCACCTCTCACCATCAACCAATGGTGGTCCACATCACCATCACCAACACCAATTATCCATCCATCTGCCACTCAATTTGCCTACTGCCATCGATTGCCCTTAAGATTGGCACGCATCCTCATCATAAGAATTTTTGTTATTTTATTTATTTATTTATTATTATTATTTATAAGTTGCGTATATGGAAGGGATTCTAAACATGGACTTTCTCATTACAATTTATCTCAGTTCATAAGAAAGATGCCACGACACAGACATTATGCTTTCTTTTCTAAAGGCAAGAAGGAAGAGCGTTCAAGTGTTGGAACGAATTAAGTATATTGATTGCTGCCTTGACAATTTTGACTTCCTAAATTATCCACTTGGTTGACGAAACTCACTGCTTCTGACTTGTAAGCCAAAAGTGCTCATTACTTTGAGATCATAATCCAACTACTAAAATTTGACTTTCTAAATGACATGGTATGCCTTTGCTTTGGAGAAAAAGGATTCTTAGACCATGAACTCTTCTCCTCCCGGAGAAAAACTTACACATAATGGGTGTATCTTTCATGTGCTAAAGGGTTAACACATGTTACATGTTTTCTCAGTCTGATCGAGTCTCCAATGCACATTTTCTCCAGGGCAGACGCATTTGCAAAGATAGAATGTCACCAGTGCTCAAACTTTCAACCGTAGATGGGGAAGGGGACTCTTAAGCCTCAATGAACATCAAGTCCCAATTATAAGAATGACAAGGAGGGGAGGGGAGAGTGGAGCAACATGTACTCAAAAAATTAATACTAAGACAAATCTACTCTTCAAAAATTTCAAAAAACCATACCTTACTCGGATCCCATTTTTGAGGTGGCAAATTTAGGCATGCCCAGTTACTACCTAGGTGCAACATCCTAGATCATCACCCCATGGCATTTGATCATTGCCTGCCCTCGCCAGTCAAAAGCAAGAAACAAAAAATTTAATTCCTTGGTGAAAAGGATATAGAAAAAGCTAAATATATACACCATAACTGTTAACCACACGGAGACGCGAAATCCAGACATGTCTTGCGTATTTACAGGTCCATTCGTGTCCAAACTAGATAAGTATTAGAGTAGTCAGTGCATTCATTACACGCCTATTATCCAAGAGAATCTTCTGTATCTTGTTCATCTTCATCCATTGCATCACCCAATTTTTTATCTTCGGCAACCTGATCACTACCCTCAGTCTCTGAATCCGACATTGATCCACCTTTAGCATCAGTTCTGTTATCTTCTTCATTGTTCGAACAACTCTCGGTATCTGAGTCGGATGCAGTACCCTCTTTTCTCTCCCGTGATCATCACTATCATCCACAATTCCACCGAACTGCCCTTTTAAGTCTGGAGCAACAATCCCAATCATTTCACTCAGTGCATGACGTTCGCGATTCTGTCTTCTGGCAGCAGCATCAGAAGAGGGATTACTTTGGCTCTCAGCCACCTGATCAGTGGAGTCGTGTGGCCCAGCAGCACCTTCCTCATTGTTGTCTCTACTTCTTTGAGATTCATTATCTCCACGGAGAGAAGGGGCTGTGCTGCAAGCCCAGCTACCAATAACTTCAGAAGCTATAAGGTCTGCTGTCCTGATTGCGCCACAGCCTTCTGTATCTCCCATATCTTTTAGAGTTTCACAGGGGCTATTTGATTGAGAGTGACGCTCCTGACAAATCATTGGAACCTGCTCATCGTTTTCTTGTATGTTGGCTTCATCATCAAGTTGCATCGTATCCCCATCAAAAGTGACAATCTTATTCAGATCAATATTCTGCTCACCATTGATTCCAGGGCTTTCAGTTTCAGGAACATGCTCAGTCTCAATGCCATCTCCCTCCATAATTGGTGCCGTGCCAACACCATCAATCTCAGAACCAAAGCCACCCTTGACCCCATGGTCTGCACTTGTAAATTCTACCTCTTCGGTATGTTGACCTTCTTGGCTTCTGATATCACAGTCATGCTTCTCTGTAACACTAACTTCATCACTAGAAGTTACAACTTGATTTCTGTCAGACCTCTGCAGTGTTGTAGCTGACCCTGCTTTACCAGGAATGTTATTATGATATCTGATTGCTTCATTTCCTCTGCCTTCAGTTCCACTTATATCACCAACAGTCACATTGAGGTCAATATCAACTGATGTGTTATCATAATTTTCCTCATCTTCCAGCGTCCTCTGCATTGATTTCAACTGTTCCTGCTGTTTAGCAAAAAGTACAGAAATCTCCTCGGTTGTGGAATAAAATGCTCTTAGCTGTGTCTCCCTGCATAGGAACCATATGTTCACCGTTTAAGTAAATGACTCCTTGAAATGGTGCAAATCCAGCGTTAAAAAAAGAAAAGGCATACACCCCCCAACCAAAAAAACCCTGATAGAAGATTGACCTCCATTTGTGTTGTTTAAAAAGAATTGACCAAATGTTAAGAGTACAAAAATTTGTACAATCCGAAAACTTGGGGGGTCTGATAAAAGAATATAGCCACAAAATTGCAGATACGAGAAAAACAGTTTACTAAAGCACTATGCAGCGGTAATAAAATTACATTATAATCCTTCAGGAATCTTTACCTAAGCATAATTCTTTCTCTGGCAGCTTTAAGTCTCCGTCTCTCAAATCAAGATCTCGCATAGCAGCATTTATCTCTAGTTCGAGGGCAGAAACTTTGGCCCATGCTTCTTCTCGAGCCGCCTGCTACCAACAGCAAAAAACACATCAGCTAAATAAGTAACTAGATAAATACATACAATAAATTTCTTTCTGCTTCTACCTACAAGACAACACGGTTAGCACATTATACCATTTACAACACCGTAGAAGGCAAAATAAAAACTTGCATTTCTACCTTTTCACTCTCAAGCTCTTTCCGCAATCCTCTCATCTCATGTTCAAGTTCTTCTACTCTCTGCCCAAACATCCAAAATGTGGTAAGGAACTTAGCTTCAACAGCTATTTGCAAGTGAAGATAAACTATAATGATATCTAAGTAGGCACAAAGGGGCATATTACTATTTTTCGACTTTCGGAGGTTGACTGCTCTTCAGAAAGTTGGGTTTCAAGCTGGCGAACTTTATAGTCAGAGATAACCAACTTTTGCCTAGTGTCTTCCTGCAGCACACAGGGGAGTCAAGATAAAGACCTCCAATGGTTCAAACGAAGTATCTAATTACACAACATGAAAATATTTTATATATGTATATATATAAAGGTACTGCCAACATTACCAATTTGGTTCTCAAGGTTTCTACTAGTAAACATGTTTCTCTCTCTGATTCCTGAGACCACAAATGTCAATATATCATTCCTCAATACCACCAAAATATTATAGCATCCACCTATGAAATTATGAACTGTAAAAGCATCCAGACCTGAAGCTTATTAATTACTTCTTGTTGCTCTCTCTGTCGTCTCGTGGCAGCATCCGAAAATCGTTTTATTTCCTCTTCAGCCTCTAGTTGAGCTTTCTGCACTGCTGCTTTTAGATCTGCTGCAGCCTTTTCTCGTTCTTCTCTTCTCTGATTGCGCTCTTCATCCAGTTGTGCCTTGAGTTCAGCTATAGATGCTTTCTGACTACAAACAAGAAATAAGACTATCACAATATTTTGCAACATAAATAAAACTTGCTCTAGCTTTCTGACTAAGGTGGGAAGAGACAGTCAATGCACCACTGTTCTAGACAAAACAAGCCATGCTAGCATCAGCATGCTCAAATGAAGCAAGATAAACTAGTTAATGTGTAAATCAATATTACCAAAAAACAGTATAAGTCATCCCAGCTATAGCCATTTGTTACACTGCTTTCCATCACTTCTAAATGGAAAAAAAAAATTGGTAAATAAAAATCATTGCAAATTTTATTTGAATGTAATGTTAATGCCAGGTTCCTGCAATGCTTTTACCAATCACCACAACTCTTTGATTCAAAAAAGTTGGCCACCCAAACAAAATGGTGTCCATGTTCTTCCCAGGCCAGGATCAGAAAATTTGGAACTCTAGATTTGTGCATGACATAAAATCGGGTATAACGAGAAGCAACTTGAACTCCTAGCCAGAAAAAAATGGGGCCAGCTATTCAAACAATATTGTGTTATTTCTTATTGGTAATACTATAAGTTGACTCTATTGAGAAGAATAATTATATTAGAAAACACATGACCAAATAATATGTGCTTTACCTATTCACTATTTCATTTGCTTCAGAACATGACTGCATAGCAGCACTGAGCCTTTCATTGAGGTCTTCGATAGCATGTTTTGTTTCTGCAGATATTCTACTGGCCTCTACCAGATCCTTCTGTTTAATCTCCAGAGTGTGATGCAACTCACTGAGTTGATCAAGGTACGGTCTTGCAACTGATTCTTTCAATTCTTTCTTTTCCTGCAAATTGAACAACACCTGTCATCAATAAGCAGATTGTTGTGAGCGAGAGAGATCACAGGTCACCAGCGGCATACATTTTCATGACGCTCAACAGCCAGACGATTCTCATTGCGCAATGTATCAATTGTAACAACTTGAGTTTCTAATTGCTTCCTCAATTCCTGAATACGGGAGTTTTCAAAGTTAATTATATTGACTTTCCATGATCAATTCACAACAGTGCTATATGTCAGCAACCACTACTGTAATATCATCAAAATGAGATACCGTGTTTGACCGTTGAAGACTTCGAAAATCATCAAGAGATATAGGACCCTCCGGAGCACCAATGCCAATACCTTTTAGTCTCTTCGTATCAGAAACAAAATCCTCTGTATTAAAAAGAGAAAAGACGTCAAAAATAATGAAAACTATGTCACATACAAGAACAAGTAATATTAACTACTCCGCCAGAGCCACATCTACAGTCATGCAGACCATTTGATCTACCTAGAAACACAAGAAATAGAATGAGGCACAGTATCCCTACATTTTCAAGAAATGAAACCTTAAACCCCACAAGACACCTTTAAATGTTAGGCCGACAACAGTGTTATTTCACTGCCAACTCCAAAAAAAAAGTTCTAGTTTCAGGTTCTCCAGAAGTTGATCACCTCTAGGGCTTAGTCAAAGGGCCATAAAAGGCCTCAAATTTTTATCCTCGCTAGTAGCATTTGACATAGCTTAAGTACTACCAATTTCTAATCGACAAAGGAACATTTGTTTTGATCAAATCCCTACGAATCTATTATGACCTGAGTAAAATAGTTATGCACAGTGGCACTTCCCAATCAGCAGTGTCCACCGAAAGACTTGAATGCTTTCATGGTTGCCACAACCACAAGAAAGATGCGGTTTAGCCATTTCTGATTTAACAATTGTAGGAACACCACATGTACTCAGCATCTAAAGTTGACTCCAAAATGAGAGCAGCATGAGCACACACGAAGAAAACTATATAAAGTGGATTAACAACTACCATACTAACATTGTCATGAATATACCTGCTTTTCTTTTTGCAAATGCACCATCTGTACTGGTATTGGACACTAAAACTTCTCTGTATACGAATGCAAATGCAACATCTGTAATTATATGACAGATAAAAAAGGTCAATAACTTTCTGTACACGAGACTATGGCTTATCACAAACTATCAAATAAAAAGAAATCTCAACCCTTAGAATTAACACCTCCCAAATTATACTTTAAGAAGCCTACTTAATCTCAGCATCTCGATTATTAATACTTGCTTGGAGTACAAGATGGTTTGTTGGCACAGTAGTATTACCATGCTGAGGAGGTGCAGAAGGTGATATAATATCTCCATGGCGTACTTCAGCTTCAAGGCCACCTTTTGTCAACTTCTTCCAGTTGAGATATGTCCCATTTGTGCTGCAAAAGTCTCAATTCAATCAAATACGTGATAATTGGAATACGAAGCCGAAAAATCTCTAAGAAGAACAGTACACAACCTCATATCTTTCAAGAATACCGATGGATGTTTCGTGTCTCCATTAGCAACCATCTTCCTGTATATCTTGCAATGTCTTGCACTAACCGCAGTGGATTCAATCTGGAAACGCACATCAGCCACGGTTCGGCCAATGTAATGCTCATCAGCAGTCAAAAGGATATTTATACCCTGGTTCGCAAATTTTTATTAATGCTTTTAAAAATTAGTATAAACTCACAACGAAGGCATCAAAACAACATAAAACAAAGTAACAATATAGCCTCAAGTACGTCAACTATTTGATCAGCAATACATAAAACTTTGAAAATTTGTACAAAGGTCGGATTTTGAGCCCCAGTACAAAACAGTTTCAAAAAAAATAACAAAACCCACGTTCGTTGCAGTCAGTAAATACAGCACATGAATTGAACAGAGAAAGAGAAGAACGTAATTTACGAGGTGGTTACCTGGCTGCGTTTACGGGCCTGGTCGGAAATGGCGGTGAGGACGCCCCAGACTCCAGGATCGTAATTCTGGAGAGGCTGGGAGGCGATCTTGGACGCCACGGAGGTCATGAACTGCCTGGTGCATTGGGTGGCTTGTGGAGGTGTAGTGCTCACAGCGCCATTGGGTTTTGTTGGAGTGGGATTTGAGGGCACGTCGCTTTCGCCTACGGCAGACATTGAAGGGCAGAGAAGGAAAGCAATTAGCAGAGGTCTTTTTTGAAACCCTAATTATCAACAATTTGGGGAAGAAAGTGACACTGGTTGGACACTGACTGGGACTAGAGTTGGCAGTTGGGATTTGGGTCTTCTTATGATTGGCAATACTCAATTTCTCACTGTGGTGGGGGAGTGAGGGACATTAGGTTTGGGAAAATTGTTGGAGAAGCCGCGCTATAATGCACCATGTCAGCAGCATACGTGTCGAAGTAATATTAAACGCCAAAAAGATCATGTGTTGGGTATTTTAGTCTTTTCGATAAGATCATAGTAACTAAGGTGTGATAAGATCATAAGATCTCAATATCATAATATCGAAGGTACGAAAGTGATAAGAAAACCTTGATTGTGATTCTCTATTACCTATTATGATACTAAATTTTTTTTTATGAAGAAAAATTTATGGGAAGGGAGGCACCCATCCTAGGACTAGGACTTTATGATACTAAATGTATGTTTCTTCAAGATAACCAAGAAGTTATTTTATGTAATTTTAAATACTGAAAACGAGTGAGAAAATAAGATCAGTGAGTCGAAATATCAGCACTTCGCAAATAATATTTTGAAACAAAAAAACATTAACCAAAAACTTGTTCACATTTTTTCAACCCAGATAACAAATGATGCTCATTATGAGCCTGAAAGGAATAGAAACCAAAAAGCTCAGGCCAAAAAGAAACAAACACGCACAGAAAATACAAGTTTTGTTCATTTGAGTGATATTATCATAACATCAAATAGCATCCCTCCAGAACAATATATCTAAAATTCCAGATCCAAAAGTCTCATTACAAAGTGACCAGAATGGGCTATACATATTCCGGTGATAACAGCACTCGTGAAATGCATACTGCAACTCATTGCTAGTGTACAATCCTGAATACAAGACCTCCAAAAAAGGTAATGGCCACTAGTAAAACATTCCAGGTTACCCAGCAAGCGGGTTAGCATGAATGGTCACTCGATTGAGCCTGATCTCAGCAAGAGGTCGATCCCCAGGTCCAGTTGGAGTCTGCACAAAACCAAACACATTAGATAAAACCATTTTTAAACAAAGAACGCCGAAGAAAATGAACAACTTTAATCAAACATTGCAAAACCAACTCGATATTATCTCTCTGTAATAATATATAGTTCATCGATAGGGCTAAGTCCTTCACCGGTGTGATCACGACCACTACTATTTCCATCAGAACAAATCATAGTTCATTATATCTTTTCCATACATCAGGGAAAGACAGTTGTGGTACAGAAAAAATAGATTAACATCAGATGAAATGAATGAACCAATAGCGTATGCACATCCAGATATGTTGCAAATAAGCACAAATTATCATACATCATCAGGGCATAATTCACTTTATTCACATAAAGGGATACTTGGCTTAGTTAGCACAATACCTTTTCCATGATATCAAGAACTTCAAACCCATGGATCACTTTGCCAAATACAGTGTACAATCCATTTAGATGAGGCTGCTTCGCATAATTAATGAAGAACTGGCTTCCATTTGTATTTGGACCACTATTTGCCATTGATAGCATTCCCCTAGCATTGTGCTGCAAAACAAAAGAAAGGGGAAAATTGTAGCAATTTAGACATAAAAATAATGCTCAATACAGAAAACTACCAAACCTTCTAGTATACATGATATAATTAGATCTATGCTTGGGAAACAACATAACAAAACCGAGCTTAACCCAGCAAGCTTGAGCTTTAAAATAAGTTACCGGTACAGAGTAAGATCATCATTACCTTTAGAGACTCTCTTATCTCATCATTGAACTTCTTGCCCCATATACTAGTTCCACCCTTGCCTGTACCTGTTGGGTCTCCACCTTGTATCATAAACCCTTTGATATTTCTATGAAATATGGTTCCGTCATAATAACCGCTAGCACATAGTGCCAAAAAATTCTGTAGTGAAATTAAACATGAGAATGAGTGACAAAACTATCGCCATGAACAAAACATCAGTACCAATGTTCTCAGTTGACTCTACAAATTACTGGACTGAGAACAGAGAATCGGACAGGTCTTGCATGGAATGGTTGAAATAGCTTAACTGACTGAAAGGCAACTTAAAGATATGACATTTGTCCAATCAAATATAGTTCTTTTGAAAAAATAGTGAGGATTTTTGACAAAAAATGTTTGAATCAAACAAAATAGAGTTCCCAACAAATTTAACAACGAATTTCAGGCGTAAGTAATTTCTATGGTAGCTGTCCCAAGCGTCACCTAATAATTACAATCAAAGAAGGCGCAGAAAGAATTTTCTCGGGAAACATACTGAGAGAGAGAGAGAGAGAGAGAGAGAGAGAGAGAGAGAGAGAGAGAATCTTCAGGTAACTGAGTTTACTGACCTCGGCGGTTTTGGGGACCTCATCGCAAAAAATCTCGCACTTGATGTCGCCCAGATTTGTGTGCAGAGTGACTGACTGAAACACCCACAAAATCAAATAACATAAATAAAAGGATCAAATCGAAGAAAGTGAGCTGCTTCGAAGTTGAAATTTTATGGAAGCAAAAGTGTTCGACGAAATTACACAGAGAAGTACTAACCATTTGCGTAAGACGAGTTTGTGCTGCTCGGGCTTCACAATTTTTGTAGAGCTTTCGCGCTATGGGCAGGTCTGGTCTGTTAGTGCGCTCGAGGGCATTATTTATATCTGCCGAAGGGGTTGCAGTGTCGGTTGTACATTACTTTTAAGCATCAAGGGGTTGTACATATTTATTCTCATGAGACTTTTTTCAGAAAAAAACAACAAAGTAAATAAATAGATATTAACTCATTTGTTTTTTCTTTTTAATTTTAGCTCAACTTGTACACATAGAAATTATGGTCATTAAATTTTCATTCTACTTCCGCCCCCCCAAAAAAACAATTTCATTCTAATTATTTCACCATGGTGAAATTTTTTAAAATTGACAGTTTCAAAAATTGTTAAAGAAAGCTTAAATTCACATTAAAACATTGGTTTTTTTTTCTTCAATAAAATTTTCAGGAGCAGCTGCTAATTAATAAATTTTGGTTACAAATGAATGCAACGAAGGTATCACAATATATTACTAAAAATAAATGAATATATAGGTTAAACAAGTTGGTTAGGATAGTGTGTCTGTTCTGCATCTGAGTTCGATTATTCACTTTCATAATTTAAAGCAATTTAGACTACAGCTTGGGATGATACAACTTTCGATATCTAAACTAACCTGCGAGTTGATTAGCAATTTGAAAGTTGGACAAAAGGCTTGTGTGAATTCAAGCATCACCATTTAACAAACAGAAATTTGAAAATTTAAATATAAGCAACATACAAACAAAACTAACAATGTTAATATAAACTAATGCAACTACAAAGGGTACTTTTCTTTTATTTTATAATCATTTTAAATATAATATACTTAAAGAGTACGGCCGCGCGGCTAATCAACTTGTTTAACCTATATATGGTATACGTACTTAAACGTGGTGGGTGAATTACAAGTACGGTTTTATAAATTTTATAGCCGCGTGGCTATACTCATTTTAAATACAATGGGGGCGAATCTCGTTGGGCGGATCCTCTTTTTTTAAAAATATAAATAGTATCAGTCTTGAGTCTAGCCGTGCGGCTTTACTGGGGTCCGTTTAAATTTTTTTATAAATAGTATAGCCGCGCGAAGATACTCTGGATTTTTAAAAAAACAAGAGTATAGCCGTGCGGCTTTACAGGGGATCTTTTTTAAATTTTTTTATAAATAGTATAGCCGCACGGCTAGACGCTTTACATAAATACTGTGAACTTTTTTTTAATTGTTTTGCCCCGATTTTTGTTTATCGATAAGAGTATTTTAGAGTCTTATCCATTATTATTAGGCAATTTCCAAGCCTCTATTGTTCTATATAAAGAATTTAGCATTTTCACATCTAATACTCGTATTATACACGTACGTATGTATTTTTCATGTTTAATATACTATTTTTTAAAACAAATTTTCAATAATACACACAAATTAGTAGCCATAACGGTCCCTTTCGGCTATACTCTTTTTAAAAGTTTGAAGTGTGAGCGCTAGTCTTGGAGGGAATCGAATTTGGCCTTGCAAATGTTGCAGATCTAAGGGTTTTGTTCATTATGCTCAGGTTCAGCGTCACGAACGTAAGTTTCGATCTTATGGAAATTCTGGGTTGGGTTTGAATTATCTGTTAAGAGTAGAGTATACTATGTGAATGGACCGTTTTGAGACTTTCTTTTCTTGGACACAAAACAAGGATTTCGAGCCATGGATGCCCAATATCGTTGAGAAAGGAAGATTGTTATTTTGTCATAAAAAGTTCTTTAGATTAAAAGGAAAAACTACAAAATAGAATTCAATTAATTTTCTTTTTATAAGTTTTTTTTTATACAAGCAAAAATTTAAATTACTCTAAATTAATCTGATCTACAAGAAGGGAGCTCGAACTTGGATGCAAGAGGACAGACTCACTACCTTGGCCAACTGACCTAACCCACATATGTTTCTTTTTAAAAGTTAATTTTACGGAATCCAATATTTTATGGGTAAGAAAAATGTAATTTGTAATTCACAAGATGTCAAATTTATTGACCTAAAATCCAGTCAGTAATTTTGATGTCATGAAAAAATAAAGCATGAAATGAAGAAATTCTTCAATATGGCCATTACACCGCTACATGGTATTTCTAATTCACTCGTGTTACAACAAATGTAATTATTTATTAATACTATAACCACAACTATATTATAACACATGAATTAGTAACAGCATGTAACACATTGGGCCACCGTCAAGTTAATGAAGCAGCTAATCGCACTACTGCTATATATTTCTTTTTTCACTGCAAGTAAATCGTGTCCCACTGAAAAAATATCCCAAAAAGAAATTCATTCACACCAGCTGAAATCTTTCAAAAATAACCCTTGGTTGTCACAAAAGCAACTGTTAAGCTATTTGCTTTTAAATCGTTGAAAGGCTTCAATTACTTCAATATTGTAGAATGACAGAACAAAGATGATACAGAAGAACCGAACGGAATGCTTTGCAAATGATATAACAAGAAGAAAGTAAAGTACGACAAGCAGTTTTTTAAGTTATCCGTCTTCAAGAATCTCTCTGTGCACATGCATGCATGATGTGCTGCAGTATTTGTAATTATACCTATGAAAGGGACTTTACCAGCCAGTGATACATTACAACAGGAGCAGTTAATTTCACCAGCTACCCCACTTTTGGGTTGTGCGGTGCTCGGTGCAGTGGCAGTGCTGTTGCCTTGAGCACTAAGAGCTTCAGCTGCGGCTCTTCTCCTCTCAGCAGCAGCTGCCCTTTTCTCCCTCTCAGCTGCCTGTGCTATTTTTAGTTCCTCCTGATTTGGAATAAAAAAGGGGGAAAGAATACGCACTTTAATCAAGATGAACGAAGAGTGGAAAGTAAAATAAGAAACTATTGCAAACATGAGCCAGCCTAGTTTCAAAGGCTTAATATAAGCAGTCATCGAAAATCTAACTGACCTCTTTAGAGATCTGTGATCCAGAGCTAGATTGAGGCTTTCCCTTAAGAGTGGAAGATGTAGTGGGTACTTGGTTTTGTAAATCCGTCGAAGCATTTTGGGAAACAGCAGCCTGAGCCTGCATATTTACATCACGATGATGTAGAAAGATTGAACTAAGTAGATATAGCTGGAGGAAAAATAGGAATACTATACACAGCTGACACAATGAAGTCAATTGTTCCTTCTGAATTACAATCAACAAGACCTTCCTCACAACTCCGCAAAAGAAATCCTCACATAAATTATTCCAAAATTTTACTCTACTTTTCATTTTTTAGAAGACAACAGAAAAAGAGCCAAAATAGAAAATGAAATTAGCAATTCTCTCTTTCCAATGCCACCAATCGACCAATGCTGGGGGAGGTGTGAATCAACGGATGCAACCTACAAATCAATTTCATTGAATCACTGCATGAAGGCTATGGACAACCAATGCAAGTGCATCAATCACACCGTTAAAAATGGCATTCTAAAAGATTCTTCAGAGAAACTAGAATCAAAACCAAGTCACCAGGAAAAAGAAGATAATCTCCACCAACACATCTTGAGGAACAGAAAAAGACCAAATATAAGCAAAATATGCACCTGAGCTTTCTTTTCTTTTTCTTTTCGTAATTTCTTCAATTCTTTTGCCCTTGCCTTCTTTTTGGCATCTTTTTCAGCCTGAACAACCAAAAATGAAAGCAGATCGTATTCATTCATTGTCAAGTATCAATGCATAAAACACAATTTGAAAGAGGCCTAAAAGATAAGGTTTTAAATGGTGAAATGTGCAGGCACTGCCCCAGGAAAGTATTGGTTGTGTTCCAATTACAATAAATGACAACCATAAATATCCAAACTCTTAAATCTCAGTATGAGCTGCAGGATTATAGTTAAAATGCCTGCAATTATGATCTTTCTCATTTTCTTCGCACTAAAATAGAGTATTCTCAAAACCAGACCAGGTCAACCAATTGAACCGGTTAATTGAGGAGTGGCCAATATGATTGACCCATGAGATCTGCATTATTAAATTTGCCAAAATCAGTGGCAAAATCAGGAGGTTGGAGGATTTCTTTTATAATAATTTTCATGTTTTATTTTTTAGGGGTAAAATTAGAGCAAAATATATTGGGGTGGGGGGGAGAGGCTAAGTGGGGGAATTTTGGGGTTTAAATAGTCACCCCAGATATTTAAACTCCTGAACACAAATGTGTTTTTTGTCCTATTTCACATGAGTTGGCCAACGCATCAAACCATCCACAGAAACCAGGTGAAGTTCTGCAAACACTTACCTGCTTAGCAGCTTGAGATTCCTCCATCTCTTTTGTCAATGCACTAGGTACCTTAGCAGCATGCCAATCCCACTTATCAGGGTTTGAGGCCATGAACCGTCTAAATGTATTTCTGACCTCCTTTTCACTTGCCAGCATGTATGGAGTCTGTCCCCTTTCATCTTTGATACAAGGATCCAGACCCTGTTCCAATAGTTCCAACACCTTATGAGTATCTCCAGATTGTGCTGCTTCATGCAAAGGTGTTGATGAACATATTTCCTCACCATCACTGTCACTTGATATAGGAAGTTTGACGGACTTCCCATAATTTGGGAAAGCTTCATTTTTTTCCATACAATCAAAACTGTCAACAATGTTGACTTTTTCCATTCTTGGTATGATGTTGCGGTCAATACCTGAACTATATGGTGGGTCCTCTTTGGAACTTGAAGGAGCTTCATTCACATCTAGTTCGAAAGCAACTTGGGTCAATTGCTCATATATACGCCGAGCTTCCTTATAAGTAGGTCTCCGAACAGTCATTGGAACATTTCGAACAAGACCATGCTGATGACTAAAGATTGGTTTCTCTCCATTAAAAAGCAGTTGATGATTGCTAGAAGGAGCAGAAACAAAAACGCAAGATGAAGCATCAAAATATGGCTTCCAAGCAGCAAGTAGCTCTTGAATTTCCTAGAATGTAAGACTTATAAATCAGTCAACTTTTACAAGATTCACTAGAATATCCATCATA